GCTGTTGACAGTTTAGCAGCACTGAAGCACAGGGGGCCCAAAAGGAAGTAGTTTAAGGTCCAAGAGTGGTAAGAATTGAGTGCCAGACTGAGGGGGGGGTGGTAGATACTGGTTAAGAAGCCACTGGAAAGTAAACACAGTATTTGATAACTTTTATAACACAAAATTTCCTAAATACAGTTAGCAGATAAAGTGCTCTATGTAGATTTAATTCCACAAAGTAGGGGTTCCTTTCAAATTAGCTTAATACAAGTTTATTCGCACAATGCCACGCAGGTAAATCCCCAAACTTTACAACTCCTCACTTGTTTCTCTCAAAAGAGATTTAAAAAACAAAGCCTTAGAACACTGAAAATCCTGTAGGCTATTTAAAAAATCTGATTTTAAATTATGACAATGATAAAATGTTTGTCAACCAATCAAGGTCTCAAACTAATTAACATTCAAAGTATGAAGGAACATACATTGGGATCTCGTTATATTTTGATAGTTGTAAAAGCTGATGAATTCCTGTCATTAATGTTGATGCCATAAGCAAACAATACCATTTATAATTTGAAAGCATATTTGTCTTACGCATCTTATACACTGAGGTAAAAAGCCATGTTTTATCAACATTTCTTTATTAATGTAATAAATAATTTCTTCCACAATGGCAACTGTGGTAAAAACCCCAACAATATTAGCCAACCTGCTGGCATGTTCTATGGTCTTCTACTAGTGCATAGACATTGAGAAACTACACAGCCACAACAATTTATAAGCAAATAACAAATTTTGAAATGTCAGGAATAAAACTATATCCTAAATAGTTTACTTTCCTTTTTTCTTATATTATTCTTTTTATATTCATTCTTCCCACTAATTTTTTTCACTAGACTCTATTAAAGTCAAGATTTAAATATGGCTGAGCATAAAACAAAATAAAGATGAGTGTCAACAAAATAGCTGAGTTTTATCAGTGTATAAGCCACTTAAAGCTATTCTCCAAAAGACAAGTTATTCAACCCAAGCCAAACATGAAGAGCGTTGGATTGGACTCTTAGGTTCTTTATAGTTTGACCCATCAGGTCCACGGTAACTTCCAAGGCCCAAGTTCTGAATATCTACATGCCACAAAGATAACTGTGTCACTAGTGGAATGTCCATTAGCTGAAGAAAGACCCTTACACACATTCAGCAGATGTTCAACTTGCAGAACATGGGGAGTTTAGAGTGGCACACAATCAGATAACAGGTTTTACGCTCCAGTCAAAGATGTAATAATATTATACCTGAACAACAATCTCTAAGGAATTTTCAGCTTAAATTGTATTGATTCTTGTCATTATATGAAGAACTTAGATTAACAGTTTTGCACTCTTAATTAAAAGGATAACCATTTAATCAATTTCCTGTAGCAAATTATTAGATTGTCATCTGGAGATTATAGTATATTGTGTTCTACCTTTAGGCTGTCACAATCAGGATCATTACCTGACATGCAATCAACAAATAATCAGTGACAAAGTATAAGGTTAGGCCCTATAAACTTAAGTGTTAAGTGGACCCAATGTTGAACTACAGGTTGAGCATCCCAAATCCGAAAATCTCACATCCAAAATGCTCCAAAATCCGAAACTTTCTGAGCACCAACATGACACTCAAAGGAAATGCTCGTTGGAGTATTTCAGATTTCAGATTTGGGATGCTTAACCAGTAAGTATAATGCAAATATTCCAAAATCTGAAACACTGCTGACCCCAAGCATTCCAATAAGGGATACTCAACTTGTATCTCATAACTTTTCCTTAAATCCCTTTATTTCTACCAACAAATATAGGCCTACTTTAGGCTCTACCAATTTTATTGCTATATGGAAGCTAAAGTATGTTGTGATTGCCAGTATATGACTTTTTAACATTATGGTCCCATTTCTGCAAAGTTATTCTTATAGTCGTTATCAATTTAAGTTTTCAAAAAATTGCCTTTTTAGAATTCTGAAATAGTAGTTAAAATTAAATTTAAAAACCTTATTTGTTCCTCATATACAATAAAATTCTGATATACGATGTTAGACAAATTAAATTATCAGACAATTGATCTCCATTCACCTAATATCAATGATGTAAAGGTTCAAGTGAACGTTCTTTAGGGAGGTGAGTTTCAATGATCCTAAAAATGGTAAATGAACCCATTCTTTGTGTGTGAATCTAAACTGTGTCCTTTATGAAATTATCTGTAAATCAAAACAGAAATTTAGGCAGTCGATTGTTAAATATAATGTTAACAGGTACACTGAGCAATAAATTGAAACTTTTTTATTTAACTCATGTCTGCTTAGTTTTTTATTTAGTTAAGTATAAAGGCCCAGTTAACTCATTAGATTGGTCAAGGCAAGACACTTGAACTAAGTAACAGGATTTAAAAAGCAGTTGGTTTTTTAGTAGTTCTCTGGTAATCACACACACACATACACACATACACACAAATCTGTAGAGTACTCTGGATATAGGATTTCCCCCATAATCTTGTATAATGCACTGTTCACAGTCTGCAATATTTTGAAAACTATACATATTGGACATGGCCAAATTAGAGATATCTGATAAACTCTTATAAAGTATTTGGGAACTTTAACTATATTCCCCAAGAGATTAATTTGAAACTATAAAAAACAAAAATTCATATAAAAGCACAACAGATTTAACAGACATCTTAAAAAAAATCAAATTGTAACTCAATTTTCTACTTTTTCAAATATGACTAAGAAAAAACTTACAAGTAGCAATGTTTACTATTTTTTTAAAAAAACAATTAACTGGGTGAATTTGGGGGGGGGGGAAAGCTATACAGTATTATTGCACTCCACGAATGTGCAGAATTCCAAAATGTGCCAGCACTGAAAAACTCTCTTGCATTGAGGTTTTCCAAGAGGTACAACGAGCCTGCCAAGAAAGCATCTGGTCTGTACTAACAGCTCGCTGTCTTCAGTACAGGCCTTCATAATGTCAGTCACGCTGCTCTTGCAAAAATCCTTTAATGTCTGAAAGATACACAGAAAAAAAATATTTTACTTCAAAAATTACTCGTATAAAAACTCTTTTAGAAAGTTAACTTGCTGATGAGAAAAAAACTGAACTCTGCTAAGCAAAAGTTATCTAATACCTCTCTGTGTTCACACATTTACTTGTTAAGTTTTCTGTCCAGAGCATGTTAAAAGAATTTGCATACTCTCAGGAACTAATTATTTGAAAGTAAGGAGAGGATATATCTATATATACATTCTAACATATCAACTCTAGTCATTTGGATTTTGGAATGAAAAAGATGATGTAACAGACCCTATTATTAAGCCTTAAAGATAAACAAAATTATTAACACAACCTTACTTTATTTGGCAGGCCCAAACTCTCTTGATATACTTATAAATTTTAATGAAGAACATATCCATCTGTTTAATCTTAAATTGGAAACTCAAGTGGTAATATATGTAATACCTACTAACTTGCTAATTCGTGATGAGAATTAACAGAAACCCATATATAGTTATTATATTTTTAAACTACTTACAAAAGAGTTTTCAGTGCTGATAGGTGGGGCTATGATCGATGATGTGGGATTGAATCCATATGCACATTGAGCTTCATTTCATTGTCAAGAATTTGAACAAGTTGTTGCATGGATGGAAGGTGACCAGATTCCAGCTTAGACCATACAGGTACATCTATAAAAATAAATGGCACCACCCCACAAAAAATTAAAGACGATTTGATAATAAACATTCATTCCACAAGTATTTATTGGGTGCCTACATATATAACTGGGGATATAAAAGTGAGAAAAAGAGTACAGCTCCTTATTCTTAGGGAGTTTACATTCTTGTAAGAGAAATACCAAAAGAACTACACAAATAGCTACGAGATTATAATTGTACATTAAGAATTAAAACTAAAAAGTGTCACTGTACTATAAGAGGCACATACTCAGCCTCTCTTCCTTACTAGTTAGAGAAGTAATGTTCTAAAAGACAAAGAAAAATTTCTAAGACAGAGTGAAGGTTCAGGGGAGTAGAAAACCATTGAGGCAGAGAGAATAGAAGTGTAAAGGCTGGAAAGGAGGTTGGCACATTAAAAGTAAGAGAAAGTCAGCATGGCTGAGAGAAATATAGGGGAGGTGTGGCAAAAAGGAAGCCGGGGAAGTGGAGATGATTATATTGGAGCCAACAAACTAAAGGGCCAGAAAGTAAACATTTTTTTTTTTTTTGAGACAGAGTCTCACTCTTTACCCCGGGCTACAGTGAGTGCCGTGGCGTCAGCCTAGCTCACAGCAACCTCAAACTCCTGGGCTCAAGCGATCCTTCTGCCTCAGCCTCCCAAGTAGCCAGGATTACAGGCATGTGCCACCATGCCCGGCTAATTTTTTCTATATATTTTTAGTTGTCTGATTAATTTCTTTCTATTTTTAGTAGAGATGGGGTCTCGCTCCTGCTCAGGCCGGTTTCGAACTCCTGAGCTCAAACGATCCGCCCGCCTCGGCCTCCCAGAGTGCTAGGATTACAGACGTGAGCCACCGCGCCCGGCCTGAAAGTAAACATTTTTGGCTAGGGAGATATACAGTCTCTGTCAGTTACTCAACTCTCCTTGTAGCCTGAAAGCAGCTATAGACAATACATAAACAAACAGGCATAGTTATGTTCCAATAAAACTTCACTCACAGAACAGGCAGCAGAGGATATGGCCCACAGGACCATAGCTTGCTGACCCCTAGACTAGACCATGTAGGGCCTTTTGGCCATGTTAAATGTTCTAGTCTTTATCCTGAGAACAAAGTCAAGTCATTTAATGAATTTGAGACATTCAAACAACGAGATAAAATTTGCATTTAAAACAATTACTATTTAGAGTTGATACTGCTGAATTTTTCTGTAAGCCAGATGGTAAATACTTTAGGTTTTATAGAACAAGAGACAAAATCAAGGATACTTTATAGATAATTACATAACTAGAGAGACAAATTTCCACAAACGTTTCACTGATGAAACTCAAAACTTTAGTTATAAACACAGAAGTTTGAATTTCATGTAAATTCTATGTGTCGAAAATATTCTTTTGACTTTTTTAAAACCATTTAAAAATGTTTAATGGCTCATGCCTGTCATTCTAGTACTTTGGGAAGTGAAGGCAGAAGGATCCCTCCAGGCCAGGAGTTTTTGAGACTGGCCTAAGCAAGAGCAAGACCCCGTCTCTGCAAAAAATAGAAATATTAGCTGGGTGTGGTGGTGCACACCTGTAGTCCGAGCTACTTGGGAGGCTAAGGCAGGAGCATGGCTTGAGTCCAGGAGTTGAAGGTTGCAGTGTGCTATGATGATGCCACTGCACTCTACCTGAGGCGACAGAGCCAGACCCTGTCTCCAAAAAAAGAAAAGTAAAAACCGTTGTTAGCTCAAGGGCCATATTTGCCAAACCCTAGTTTAGAGAATGGATAACAGAGTATCAAGGTAATTGTGGCCTGAACTAGGTTATGTTTAAGATTCCTGGGGACAGCACTTAGAAGAGAAGTCTAGAGCTATATATTCAGGGATTATCACACAAATGTTATTTTAAAGCCATGGGAGTAGATGAGGACTATAGAGACGATCCGCCATAAGAAGAGGGCCAACTCTTTGAGGAATTCCAAAATGTGAAGTTCAAATAGAGGTAAAGACAGTGAATAAGTTCAAATTTTCTAAATTCTTCTATCTCCTAAATTTCCAATTTCTTTCAAATAAATTCTCTTCTATGTAAGCATTAAAGAAGTTTCTCTTTCCCGAAGGATCTCATGTCAGCAAATAATAATTTCCTATTATGAAAAATAGAAATGCCTGATGCTCATTTCAAATCATTTAAAATTTGTCACAAAATGCAAACTATATAGAACCTACCATTTAAAGTTATTTCAAATGCACCTGTTGACATACACTGGTTCTCAATCATGTTGCTCAGGAAGAAAACCATCATACATGCATAGACCTAAGAGAAAATACAATTGCATACAATAGAGAAAGTCATTTTGAAGTCAAAACAATGTAACAACTTAGGACACATTAATCTTTTTAACATATAGTCTCCTTCTTTGTTTGGTAAGTGCTCTTTTTAATCTACATTAAAAGTTTCCGTACAAACTATCACTGCTATTCCGTACAGATAATATATCCAGAGCAAGAAAAACACGATATTAATTCACAGCTCTATACATATTGAAGAACTTATATATGATATTCATAAAGTACACAGGATTTCTAAGAAATATCATTAATAGACTTAGTAAGTTAAACAAAAGAATACCAGTATAAGAATAATTTGTTTTACCATTTTATAACATATGATTTCACAAGAGACCAGTGATGCAATAATCAGGAACACCGTGTATTTAATACAATCTGTTTATTATGTTTCA